CAAATGATTAACACAATGCAGAAAACGCATAAAGATGAAGCAGTACTAGCGATATCGATGATAATTGAGTGCGTTAATCAACTCGAGTGCCCTAACATCACTTACGACAGGAAAGGCAACTGACACCAATTGTTGTGAAGAAAAAGCATCAGTAGCAATCAATTCACAATCTGACAAGGAAATGAGGATAAAAAATGAGACTGACGCCTTCTACCCTGTCCATGATTTCCCAAATTGTGGCACAATCAACACAATTACCGCATTAAAAATGAATCTGTTTATTTAATTTTCAAAGAAACAACCGTATAGTATAGATATAGAGTTGTAGCATTGGTAGTATAAAAAGATAGGATTGTGTGCATGTGCTGTATATGGGCGTATTTTTAAACAGTAGGCAAACCAGATTTCACCTCATTTTTTTCTGGTTCTATTGATTCATTTCAAAAACAGTGTTGAATGAAGGGGAGAGATGCCCTCTTAAAAGATGAGGAGGGGGGAACACGTAAGCAAGTTGACATACTCCCTGCTGCTGCTGCTGCTGCAACATAGCCAACCCCAACCTTGGGGAACACACAGCCAGACGACAACTTTACAGTTTTTACCTTGCTTGCTTTATACAAAAAAGAGAAAACGTCACACGTACACAGAGCTGGTTCCTAGTGGGGGCGGATGGAGGAGAAATGAAAAGACAGGACAGGAATCGATTCCTCAATAAATCGACGCGCATTAGGTAAATGCAGTGGCACTACTACTGCAACCTGCCCACCTTCAATCACCAAGGCTCTGGAAGATCAATCAGACGGTCCAAATCGCTGGCCGTTGTGGATCCTGGTGGAAAGAAGGTCTGCTTATAGTCGCCCAGGTTGGTCCAAGGGAGAATGTGCACTAACTGATCGTCACCCATATCGACGGAGTAGAGTGCAGTCATAGGCTCCAAACAACCATTGTCACCGCGGCTAGCGCTCACCTCCTCCCAAGTGCCCTGAAGCAGGTCGGCCACGCGTCCAACGTCCCCCAGTTCCGTCTGACTTGGGGTCCGACCAGAGTGGTAGTCCCTGAGCCACGTCGCTGCTGCTTCACGCATCACTTCTTCCGTTAAGGGTGACAATGTTGGCCAATCATCCATATGATTGGTGACTGGAGGTTGCTTCGGCTCTGTCAATGCATCTTCACCGTCACCTTCCTCCTTGTTCTCTCTTCGCCGTTTTCCATGCTTCCGTTTCTCCTTGTGGTGGTGATGGTGGCGAGAGTTGTGATCGGAGGAGATAGAACGAGTCTCCCGTGGGGACTCCATCTGAGAAGGAGCATGTTCAAGGAACTTTGCAATTATCTCCGATTTCGTTGGAGGAATGGAGAGATTGCATTGTGGTGAGGGCTGTGTAACGGGAGGCGGAGGGGGCGGTGGCGGAGGAGGTAAAATACGATCCGCATTCCTTGATACCGATTTCTGGTGATGGTGCGTAGTTGATGGAAGCGTTGAAGGCGGATGTTTGGCCTTGCGAGAGGAACGCATCGCAGCCAGAGGAACAAGACGTGGGAACTCATCAGACTCCTTGGCAATGCGGTTGCTGAGAATGCGATCTTTAGTAACGGAGTCGATGCACCCACCAGCCTCCTGAACTAGTTCTGCAGTCGATTTAACCTTAGCGAGTTTTGGCACATCTGTGATCACGGAGACGCGACCGTTCAGAGAGGATGGTAGTTTTGGAGAGCAGCCGTTAGGAAGGGCGGTGGTAGAGGAAATCTTCTTCCGATCAGGGATTTTTGTGGGAGGCTCTTGGTTGTGGTGATTGATACTAGATTGATTTCTGAGGATTTTAGAGCGGCCATTTGAGCTTTGAGTGGAGGGAGAGGAATTAGTGATGTTTGGCGTCGATGAAGAAAATTTTGTTGCAGTGGAACCATTGTTGTTACTGGTGTTAATGTTACGTTGGAGTGGAATGACAGTGGCACAGGCGGAGCCCGGTTCCAGGAGTTTTTGCCAGGCCTTGATAACGCTCCGGATGCGTTTTTGGAGGGGGTTCCCAACCTGATGTCGAATAGTCTGCAGGAGCTGAGCCACCCGTGTTTCCTGCAGCTGCAGCATCGACATTGGGAAGACCTCCAAGCCATCCACTGCACGCGTTATGGAGGCAATATCGACTACCTGTCGATCAGAGACGAACACACGCACAGAGTAAGTCTATCTCCCTATTTACCAACCCTCACATTGCTCCTAATTAGCTGGAATAAAATAACAGACATAAAATTAAAGGACAAGGGAATGAATGTAGAATGGACCACAAACATTTTACAAGAACTGCTACGACTTAGAAAAAAATGAAACTAAGGTATTTGAGTTGGCTGTGTGAAACGGATCACTCCCAATCAAACCACTCGAAGACGTCAATACTTCCCAAAAAACGACGAGACTGCAACAGATCAGCGCAATAGTGGTATCAATAATACAACAACTAGAAAAGTGAACTTAACCAAGAGACGAAATCGGGTAAGACAAATTGAAGAATTCGGAAAGTTTAAGGTTCAGAAGAATATGAAGTTAGAAACATTGTCTACCAAAAAACCGAATTCTGACAAAATAAAAAAATGCTACGATGGTAAATTAAAGTATGAGGAAATACAGTAAGAAGTCCCAAACTGTACTTAAAATTCTGCTCCAAGTCAGTTCCACACCCGTACTAAGGGATTGCACCAAACCAGCCTCTGTAAATAAGTCATGAATTGTGGAAATAAGCAAACAGGACAGTTGAAATAGCTACAGATGTGATGAGGAATGAATCCAAAACAGAATCTGACAAGAGCAATTCCGGTTTTGTAAAAAATACATGGGATGGATAGGCCCAAACGTTGAGTAACCACATTACATTCAAAATCACAATTAGTCACTACAAAAGGAGTAGAGAATAAGTACAACGAACTGAAGATTAAAAGAAGTGGAGTCGGGTAAGTGCTAAAGCAGAGACAACAAGAACAAGACCATAAAGTGATGTCGTACTATGTGCGTACAAAGATATGGACAAAACTAATAAACCTCTAACACCGTAACAGCTAAAATTCGGAATACCGAGAACCAGATACAGCGTTCAATAAATGGACTGCTAAAGGGAGTACACAAAGTAATTGGCACTTCATTCAATGAAATAATGGTACTCTTAACTTTAAAACAGTAGTAAATACGTGAACGGAGTTCGTAAGAAGGCCGTCACGTGAGAGCGATGCAACGGTGCAGAAAAAACCACGTACGCACCGCCAAAGGCGCACCAATAAACGAGCGACCTTGACATGAGGCCACCAGTTAACCAATGAGAACTCGAAGCAGGCAAGAACCAATGAAAAGAAGGAAGACAGCAAGAGACAATATAAATACGCGCCTCTTCCAGCTTTGGAGATGGCGACGCGCGCGGCGCAAGGCTCTCGTGAGCGTTCCTGATTGGGCGTCTGGCATGCGCACACGGTTCACCGAGCGAGTGATCAATAGTGTCGGCGGTGCGCGAAGTCGAACCACATGGAAGAACGCAGGATGGATGAATAGGCAGGAAAACACGCGCAGACACACAAGGAGGGTGAGCGAGGCGAAATATCTCGCAAAGGAATGAAGTTACTACAGTGCCCAGTACTGCACATTCCGCACCCCGAAGTTGCTAGCATAATTCAGCGCATGTGCGTGAGAGTGGTTCTATCATTAAGATGATTTCGTTCATTTGCCCATCCCAACCACCAGCCAACCACCCAAAGATTCTGCTACCCAGTAATGAGGAGAAGGAAGACAGAAAGAGGAAAATCAATTTTCGCAAATGTTTATTACCCAATTGTGTGACGAGGTAATAAAGAGCGACAGAATAAAAGAGAAACAAGAACAGGCAATAACAATTAGTGCAAAAGTACATATTACGGGTATGTGTATATACGCTCCTCCACTCATTAGAATGTGTAGAGTTAAAAGAGTACCACGTTGAGATTTACTGGAGAAGGAGAGAAAAAGGAGATAATGCAAAATAGTTTGAAGAGTACCCTTGAAAGCGGCGCTAAAGGCAGCGTGCAGTAACGCCTAGAGATCGTGAATACCTTTTGAATCGCCACCGTACGAACAATAATAAGCCCCAAAGGAAGCGAAGAAAACTCTTTATTGTGGGACACATAAATACCTATTGATAGTTTAAATGGGAGAAAGTGGACCTGGCATGTTTAAAATGGAAAATGCAACGCTACTTACACCCGTAATTAGTAGCGAGTTACCACAAATAGATGGCTGCGTGACAGGTGAAAAGAAAACTAGAAGGCAACTCATTACCACGTTAAATTTAATGATTGTGGAAGTGATTCTTAACTACTCCGACTAGTAGATAGTGCCTGAATGCCTATAGACGAGGAAAGAAGGAAGAGGCGATAAAACCAAAATAGAAAGCAGAACTTCCAGTCGAAACAACAAGTTCTTTTGCCCTTGCAGATGACAAGGGGTGACCAGCTCCTGGTTGAACTATATGCGATCGTTATAGTGCGAACAGGAAAAAAGAATTGAAGAGCGTTAGCCACATCATGGTAAGAAATGATCGAATATTGAGTGTAGGATGCAACAGAAAAGTTAGATGAACGCACTAAGCACTCTAAGAAAATAGGACCGAAATTTAATGGAACTGAAAAAGACGAACAGATAGGAAATAGGAGTTAACAATTGCACGTGATTGGATGGTCTATCTATAAAAGCTGCTGAACATCAGCTAAGTCAAATCCTAAAACAAGTTGTACAACATGATTCAGCAACCTCAGCAACCAAAATCGTTCGAAAGCGAACTTCATGCTTGCACAAGAAACAACTCACTGAAAAGTAAGAGAGAAAATGTATACGAAGGATGAGTAAAAGACGGATTTCGGGGTTGAGGCAATATCAGAACAGAATCCGAACTAGTCGCAAGTTCTACGACGTGTAAATGCAATTATCCAAACAGAGGAGAGGAGCTATGAATACAAATGACACGGTGACGTGTGCCCAAGTAACAAATGGCTCGATTAAGAGTCCGAGACAGAATATTAGACAAAGAGAACAGAGCACCCCAGTGGCATTATAATATTTAGACAAAACCCATATATCACATTTATCTTCCTTGGAGCCACAGATACAAGCATCTCAAGGCCCTAAAAACGCCCAGCAGGATGACTTTTATGTAAAGTGTCATCAAAGACATGATAACAAAATAAACTTGCATGGTCCTGTGCATCTGTCCCCTTTTTCAAATCTAACATTATAGACTGAAGATTATAGTTCATCACAGAGAGGAAAGAGAACGCCACGCATAAACAAGGGCCGGAAGGAGACCTCAAGCGCAGACGTCCATTCGACCCCGACGCATGTAGCTATAATGACTTGACCGTTTTAAACAAACTATTCCTAATTAATAATATCCATTAAATTTTGTTTTTTTTATGACAAACAAATAAAAAATTTCATTTTTTTTATTTTTTTAAGGAACAATTTTATTTAAAATATTGCTGCTTAATACTCATTGGGCAGAGCTCCGGGTCTGGTTATTTCGTTTTTATCAAACTCTCTACGTATTGGTCTAATGCGTTTTTGGATTGCGTATTTTCCGTTGCTTTTATGCTTAGTATGGGGCCTGTATTCGAGCTTCGGTTATTAATTTGTATCGGGACGACTTGTTTCCACGATTTTTCTTGGCACCCTTTCTTTGCGTTTTGTGCAAGTTTTGGCGTGAGTTCTGTGATGAGAGTTAATTCACGACGCATGCACATCACTTTTGAGAGCCTAATTGTGTCTGCAGACATACATTTAAGTTTTCGCCAATGGTCACTTCGTGTTTCTCATCAGTTTCTGGCTAGATTTTGACATTTTGTTTTTATCGTCCTTTAATGCACGTAAATTTCGGCGATGGTTTTCCTGCAAGATTGTATGGGCATATTGCATAGTATTAGGCATGCTTCCTTCGTACCGTTTGCGTTGCCTCCATATTACATTTCCATCTCTAATCCCATGCTCTCTTTATTTTTGACCCGATTTTTCACTCTTTATGTCCTTTTATTGCTCCTCTTTCGTGATGTTTTTTCTTCTGTATGCTCCAGGTCGTTATACTGCTATTAATACTATTAATAGTATTAATACTTAGTGTATCTAGATTAAACTGACAACCACGTGTATTTGGCATTTATCAAATTGCATCATGACACTGAGTACATGTTTAAGACTAACATTTCTTACCTAATAGTGTTTTATTTTACCTGAAGGCACAACCGGCTGTTCTGACTATCGGGATTTGCCTATTTTGTTCAGTTAATATTCGCAGTATTTCGAATGTTCTCTGTCCGTTTGTGTATTGACAACACAAAATTCACCACGAATTTTCTATTTTTTTTGTCTCTTAGTTATGGCTCTCAGCGCGTCTTCTCTTCGAAAGTTTAGCAAAAGTGGTTCTAAACCCCTTCCTCCTGCGGAATCAGGCTCTCGCGCCCGTCACTCCATCCCTGGTCCTACTTCTCCGGCCCGTTTCTTCGGTCTCTTTATGTTCTCTCTCCTTCGCAAACCCATGTTTGTAGACTCTACTGTGAAGGCGGGCATCTATCTCTGCGGTGCTGCTGGGGGCTCGCTGATTTTCGACTTTTTAAAGATGCCGCCCTCATACTTTTCACAGAAGCGCAATGCTTTCAACCTTCTCTTTGTCAAATGGGGTTGGGCTTGGACCTTCTGCTGCCTCTCTACATTCATTCTCATATCTACCTATATATACACTGGTGGAAATCGCCGGCTTATTCGTGCTCATCTTATGCGTCTCCTTGTCGGTTCAGCCTGTTGGTATGCTTGTACAGGGGTCTTCAACACCATCGAGTATAGTTTCGGGAACTGTTATTACTCCAATGGAACGCTTTTTCGCTCCTCCTCATTTCGGCCATTTAATCGTCGCTCCTGTCGACAAGCCAAAGGGTATTGGCTTGGGTTTGATATCTCGGGACACTGCTTTCTTCTCACCATGTCAAACCTTTGGATACTTGAGGAGTTAAGGGTGATGCGATCTTGGAACGTTCTCGGTGCTCTGCTGAATGTGAGCACTCATTCAGATGACCTGGATTCTTCTGCTAATGCTGCGGTTAAGACAGAAGCACCACGGCTGCCAAATTTGAGTTCGGATACGGTGCAAGCGATGCGATCCGCGTATGCTCGATTGACGTTGAACCTCAGAAGTGTCTTCTGTGTCACAGCATGTCTCTCTTTGCTGTGGGACTTTATGCTCCTCGTAACCATTGTCTATTTTCATTCGATGCCGTCCAAACTTTTGGGCGCGTCGGTGGGAATTTCCTGTTGGTTTGTATGCTATCGTGGCATTTTCCCCAGCTTGCCAGTGGGGAGCCTTGGCGGATTGGCACCAGGAATGCCTGGAGATGGACCGGTTCATTTTGTCGCAAAGCGTTAGTTGGAAGCTTTCACACCTTTTCTTTGCCTATTCTTGATGTTCTTTCATCTCCCTACTTTCATTCTTGATGTTGGCCTAACAGATGATGTGGCGACGATTGTGCGCTGATATTGCCTTTTTGAGGACTCGTTGGTTTACTGGATAAGGCTTGTACTTTTAGCCATGCATGGCTGGATGATCTTGCGTCTCACCCACCTAGGTTCTTCATTTTGATGGCGGTCACCATTGCAACTCTTGGGTTTCGTTTGAGTCTTTTCACTACTTCTTCACTTTGCTGATGTCCACTAAACAGTGCTGAAGTCTTTCTTGAAGTATTGCATATAATCTTTTCTTTCTTCTTTAACTCCACTTCCTCATTTAATCATCGTGAAAAGATAGCCAATTCACTATTGCTACAGTTGGTAGGCCCTGTTTGAGGGTTTCAATGCTTGTTAAGTGAATTTGGTTCGCTTTCAGTATCTCGCGAGGCATTTGTTCTGCTTTAATCGGCTACTTGCCTATGTCAACCACTTCAGCGCCAGCGCTGCTAATTGCATGAGTATTTGCCAAATTTGTGGATTTTCACGTAATCTGTGTGCTACTTAATTCATTCGTCTTCATTCTAGTGTCATTCATTCTGTGTATGGTTTAGTAACCACTTTATCGAAGTTAAGCAAGTCACTTGTCTGCTTTTATTGCCTTCTTGGTGCTACAATTCATTCTCTGCATAGTACCGCTGAGATGAGGCTACTTTGAGAATATGCAAGCTTTAGAACTGAGGCTTCAGACATGACCACAGTGTCATGCACACACCAGGTGTTTTAACGGATGTGTATCAAATCGGGTGATTCTTATCATCGGAACTTTAACTACGCGTCTTCAATCTTAAGGGCTCTTTTAGAGGGAGAACTTTTGTAAACAAATGATCATAAATGATCATAATGATCATAACGTCCTACTATCTACGATGACTGGTGCAATACTTTGTCTTTTGGGAGGCGGTGCTAGTGAAGAGCAGATAGGTGGGTGCTGGCGTACTTTATTTAACTGTTGCACTTTTTTACTTTTCTAGACCACTTAACTTCTCAAAGTCGTTCATCTGAATTGTCATTTCTGGGTCTTACGGTTACTCAGTCTAGCTTTTTTTAACGTTATCAACTTTATGAATCAATTAAGGCCTTTCTCCAATCCCTAATTTATTTCCCATACACGCATACTCTGGCCTTAGGTGTAAGTCTCATAACAACAACTTGACTAGACGGTGTCTCGCATTTATAAATGTCCCAACCCTACGAATCGGATACCGCCTGCATTGTTCCGACTGATGCCACTACGACTTTGATTGGTAAGGCATGCGGTCAAATCTCGCTGTCCGTACTCGTTACTGCAATTGATAGTTACGTGTAGTCTCGGATGGTGTGGGCAAAGTGCGGATAACTAATTGAGAGGAAATGTGGATTTGGTAAGAGTTGACATCGCAGTAGGGTAGAGTCTATCAGTTGAGCTCTTCTATACGTATACATAGAAAAGCGTGTCCTTAGTAAGTTAACCAAAAAGCATCCTCAAAAGTAGGTTGGGTGACCTCCAGTTCTGGTTTTTTGTCTGATGCGGTTGGGCTACTAACTATTTGTTTAATTGACAGCCGGCGAGTGCTATGCAAAAATGGGTTCCTGATGGCTGAAGGGCAAATGTTCGTGCATTTAGCTGAAGGGTCTCGTTGTTCATTGAATGGTTGTTTAATTTTTACACCTGTTATCAGTATCGAGTGCCAACTCATGACCCGTCGGTCCTGCTCTGTCGATAAGTATCTTGCGTCATTACCTGTATAATTAAATAAGGGAGGAGTAAAATTATGACTGTCATAACCAATTAAAGCGATGTTTGAAGCTGTATGTCCATACAAGAGGAACTGGAGAGGTGTCTGCGCGCGCGAATGTTTTAATCCTTCACCTAATCAGCCTGTCATAGAATAAGTTACTGGTCCATCTTGCTATCAATTGAGCAGAGGGGCAGAGAATAGCGATCGTTGTCAGCATCTGGTTGGTGGAACGCTCAGTCATTTTTTTGAGATGGCTGTGTGGTGGGTTTCAAGTATTCCTACTGGCAATGTCGGAGATCGTGTTTCTGCCAATCGCGGATGGTTGGCACCATCTCTCCTATCACCATTTTGGTAGGAAGTATCTGTATTGCATGGTCAATCGGTGGGACATCAACTACGATCTCTCGAAAGAAAGCACATTCCAAAACATCAGTAACAAGCCTCTGAGCCTCTGCAAACCGGAGTATCAGGAAATCAAGTAATTGCGATCGACTCTACTTCAGCCTTTTCAGGTATGGTGGTTTTGGGAACCAATTGCAGGATCCCGCCTTTATTTCTCGCGCAGTTGACTGAATGATTGGAAAGTGGGGCTTCTAGCGAACACAAACCTCGTGCCAATGGAGACATCAAGATCTAGAAATAATCGGTGCAGCTCATTCAATTGCAAAATTAATTATTCCAACATTACCTGTCTCCAAGGTACCATACAAACACGATTAAATCAACTGGGAATTCATATCTTAAATCATCTTCGCAGTGATTTATTTTATTTGAATCCATATAGAAAACGACTACAATAAATCTATTTAAATAGGAATGAGTAGTTTGTTCATTATACTGTACAAGAGCACAAGATGAGGGCTTTGTCATGCATAAAAATTATTTACACCGACACACAGGCTAAGGAATTAGCTCACGCCGTTACTACATAGGTTGACGAAACGATTGTCTCCATGATAGGTACAGGAGGTTGTTACTTGCTCTACCTCTTCTCCCTCCTTCTGAGATTGAGTTTGCTGACAGTGGTGGGACAGAATCTTCTGACTTCGTTTCAATTTTCCCAAGGTGCGACGATCCATCATGGAGGTGGTGGAAGTGGATACGCCTTCTTCCACCTCCTGAGAATTCTTAGATTCCTCTTCCATAGTTGTCATCGTGACATCCTCTCCGCTAACACTGATTACCACCTTCTTGGGTGGCGTCCTTTGAACCACCTCTATCACGTCAGATTCCCTCTCCACATCCGTTGTTGTGGTTTCGTTCGTTTCATTAATTTTGTTCTCTACCTCTCCTCTCTCCTCCACTATAACATCATTTTCTTCGTCATCAGGAAGCGAAAAGGCTCTATTCAACAAGTCCAGGCTCATAGAAGCCTCCGACGCGACTGCAGCTTGTTCCTCATCAAATGGGACATTCTGTGGACAGGGTGGAAGTGGTGCGACGGCCACGGCAGTCAGGATCGGTTCTGCTATTGTTGAGTTCTTCGATCCATACGGAACCTCGAGTAACTCCGATTCAGAGGGTGCAACTTTCAGTTCACGTAATCCAGAAACTCTTTTCCCCACCTCTTTCACAAGCACCTCTAACATCTTGATGGGGATGTTTCGGAGTTCTGTATTGTGTAGACTCCGTGTCCAGCATTCAATCCTGTCAAAGATGGACTGCATTTCTGTCACAAAGAGCTTCACGTTCGAGTCAGCGCTCACATCTACTGCACTGGTAGTGAATGCTGACCACCATGAAGAGCAGAGATTTATCCTTGAAGTCATAAGACTCTGTCGAAAGGCCTTTATCTGCACTGCCATCTGTTCGACTATGTACAACAATCCTGGAGGACGCAGAAGCACTAACTTGGTCTTGCATAGCACCGCTGGTTCAAGAATCTTCTCAAAACCTACATTTGAATCCGATTTGTTAATCTTCTGAAAGACACTCTTATTCTCCAAGCGATTCAACATCGCGATACCCGAGCGTAGCAAACGAAAGGCATTGTTCTCTTCAACACGGCCGCCAATTCCGTGCGGTCGCTTGAACATATAAAGGTCTCTTGCAAGGACAAAACCGACAAATTCGTGGACGGCTGTAACTGCTTCAAACAACGCGACGAGATTAGGGTAAATGACCTCCTTAAATATCCGCAAAATGACATCACGTGCTTCTTGTGCCGTCGTGAAGAGACGCGACCTACCAATATCTGCTGCTGTAGCGGTTTGGGGAGAACAACTAAGTCGGTGTTTGGCAGTCAGACAGGCTCCAGCAGAGACCAGTTGCGGATAGGCGGTGCGTAGATGACTTAGACAATCACTGACACGAGAGTGGATGCTTTTGAGATGAGTAAACAAGTCGCAGTCGTAAAGACCATCCTCTATGGGGCATTCAATCAAGCAGAGTGTATGTCTTAGCACCATAAGTCTACCCCGCCCCGCAAGGGAAGCGTTGACAAAGAGGTGCATAAAAAGACGTTTGAAGAGGAGGCAGATGAGCCCCAGACCAGCAAAACTAGATGCATGGTTGCAGTCGAGGAGCTGACACAGAGCACGCAGTTGTGGCGGCGTCATGTGAATGAGGGTCTCCAGAGGCGATTCAGAGATTGAAGTAGAGGTTAAGCTCACAGACGTCCACTTGATTGTGGGTGTAAAGCAGAGACAGAGGAAGTCACGTAGAGCCTGAGCAGAGGCTGTTTCGTCGACAGTCGCGGTAGATGTGATGGGAACTGGAGGGTTGAGAGGATCAGGAACAGAGAATTTTGGACAAAGGGCAACTGCAATGTGTGCTAGATCCTCCACCGGACAGCTTGATGTCCACGAAGGACCCACAGAGGATTTTGAGTGAATCGATTTTGAAGCGGAGTCAAAAATGCTGAGAATAACGTCACGAGAAGGTGGAGTGACGACAGGTAGCCATAGGAGACTGGGCAGACGAAAGGAGGAGGAGGAGAGCAAGGAGGACCACTCTAAAGGTACGCATTGTAAGCCCTTTGGAGTGCGCACACGAATATTTTCCACAAGAATGGAGCGGATCTTTTGATGGCAAAGATCGGTTAGACACCTCACAGCGTTGCGACATTCTGCCGTTGGATTGGTGTAGGCCAAGAGGATTAGGCGAAGCGCGTCTCCCATCAATAGAAACTGCTCCGTCCTAACAAGGTGGAAGTTCATATCGAGCAAGGAGTACTCAAAAGGGCTTCGTCATAGAAACATTTCAGAAGTAAGAAAGTTTCGAACTGTGCATGAATGTGCCTGTTTTCCACTCGATAAGTTCAGAAAGGAGGGCATAAACATACTAGAAATATTTGGTGTTTCGCAAAAAAAGTGATTTCGAGATTCTGGGAAAACCTTGCTTGTGGAAAACAACGTCCGAAAATGTTAGCTAGTGAGACATTAAGACCTCGGGTTCTAGTATATCATATGCGAATTTCAGACCCAAGATGAAGCCTTCAGAGCTAACAAGGATGTAACTTCTCAGTCTCAAACCGCAGTAATTCGAAGCACAGATCTTTGAATGACGCCAAAAAATTATTCATTTTCATAACCAGGTAAAGCATAGGATTTCTGTCATGAAGGAAGTAAGCGAGGAAAAGATTTAGATTTGCTGGAAACTAGGGTCCTACTGTGCGTTATCGATGGAAAAATGTCTCAAAAACAATGAAGTAGGTTGCATTCAAATAAGTATGATCATTATCAGAGAGACTAATAATGACTATTACATCAACGACACCACAGTGACAAAAAAGGATTCAGTAATACCAAAAAACTACTAGTCGATGACAATTCCGCTATCAAGTTGTTATTTAGTGTCACACATAAGCTGTATTTCTTCCGTAACTTTTAAGGATTACAAACGATTGATTCACCCAAATGCTTTTGCCAAGAGAAACCCTTCGGAAATTAAATATTTCAAGCTACTGAGAGAAAGGATGTACCGACGAGATTGATTGAAAAATAGGCAGGACGAGCAGGTCAAGGGCGAATGAATAGGTGTATGTATGCCTATAACCTTCCTTGGAACTGTGGGGAGTAAAATCAGGTGAGAAGACCTACTGAGGACTACTCGGATTCGACTCCAGGCAGACAAAATGTGGCCATCCAAATGGGCAAGGCGTAGGAACGAGGAAGTCGCTGCTCACAGCCATCGAAGTCATCTCCAAAGCCACTTCTGAGAGGATTCCAAAGCCAACCAGCTGTTGGTAAAACTATGAAATGACACAGAATGAATAAGTGGATTAGATTACTGACGTTCTAGGCTAGCAGAAACTCATGCGTTTGGAAATTACTTTCGTCTTTTAATAAGCAGATTTAGGTCAATGGATGGCACGCGTAAAAATGTTAAACTTAATACACAAATGTAAAGAAGGAAGCGTACTCATTCCATCGTGAACGCTTAGCATCCAGAATAACTAGCCCAGCTTTTAAAAAAATGAGTCTGAACTTTAATAGGGAGATCGTCTCGAATTTTTCGCTTCCCCGAGTAAAGAACCGCTTCCCTATTTCATAGAAAGACTCGCACAAAGCTCACTTATTCCCACAGCAATAATTTGCAAAACCAAAGGAATGAAACTTGCCTTGTCCAGATAGAGACAACCTTCGAGACATTTAGATGAGAAGGAAACCGTCTTTGGAAACAAAAGGGGTTTGCGTAGCTAAAAAGTGAAGAAAAGAGATGAAAAAACTGCGGTGCTTTGAGGTAATCATAAGCAGTAGGTTCTGCCCTTACCATGTGACAAGTGGATCAAACTTCCAAATCGCAGGTGGGCAAGGTCACAAAATCGTTCCAGTCTTAAACATTTTCAAATACAAAAATTCTAGCTAATTGCCTTAAGATGTTCCCTTATCATCAGTGCTACGATCTCATGAGAACCTCCTGTAATTCGGCTCATTCGAAAGATATAAAACGAATGTACCTAATCGAATTGGACAAAGCGTCTAGCTTTCATTTGGATTAGGAACGCCATACCATGAAAGATAAGCTACATTGCTCAGCATATTACTGCGAACCTTATTTCTCAGCACAAGCCGGTCCCCAAACAGCTCATTTTCGACACAATGCTTCCATAGGCTGGAATACATAAAAATAACCCGATAATCTTTCAGTATTAGTGTTACTTTTGCCAAACATTAATCTCAGCTTACTTGGCTCATTAGCAGCAAAAATCTCTGATTATTACCAATAGCCTTCTTCAGCGCCAAACCCGGAATCAGAGTATTCATAATATTTGCGTCGGCGATAAAATAAAAGTCTGGAGCTTCCGACTCGATAAGACTTCTCAAAAACAATGTGAAATAGGGGAAAGTATAAAAAAAATTAACTGTGCATGAGCCCAAACATTCGCATACACAGGCGAGTTCATACAACCTTCAATAATTCAATGAAGAGGATCATAGTCAAGTAGTAGAAACTACGTATATCACCTGAAAATTCCATATGAATAAACACCAGACCTTGAAGACTATTCTTGGTGACAGTAAAGAGTGGTTCAAACATTTCCACTGAAAACATTCACAGTGCTGCAGTTAAACTGTTCGCAGCAAGCAATAAATAAAGTATACCTTATTCGGATTAAGACAGACATGGGTAGCATCCAGCCAGTTCATAACTTCAACTGCTTGCCTCCACCACCAAAGCGCGTCCATGGTTCTTTTCCCATAAGTCATAGTCAAGGCTACAGATGACTGAGAGTACAGAGCAGTCTATTTCCATCAACTCCCTCCATTGGCAGTTCTGCATTAAAAAGTCCAACCCCACAATAAGTGAAGATTGGAAAAAGGTGAATGTAATGCTTCTGTCACTCACGCATCCACAATAATCACCTCAAGGAGTTTACATAGTTATCTACCCTTTAATGGGCCTTTATCTGGGTCGACAAAGACGATAAATTACGGGGGCGTCTTAGAATGCCCATCCACGAATTCGATTGCATCAAAAACCTAGACAGCGGAACTACTCACAAGCGTACAGAGTCAGAGACTCAGAGAAAAGAACACATACTCTACTTGACGGTTTTGACTGAAACATGGTGAACTCGGACGAGGCCGCGAAACCCGATCGAGTGACAGAGTGGGACGATTCGATCCGCTGTTGCAACGGGGGCAGGGAAGATGGCTGTGCTGATGATGGCCCTGCTGGCACTCCAATGGCAAGTGATGATACAATGGAAGAAATGTGGTTTGATGGCTTCCGCTTTTGACTCCCGATGGCAACGGTAGTAGTGGTAGGAGCTAATTAATAACATAATCAAATGTTTTTAGATTACTAATTAGAAGATGCTGCGAAGAAAAAGTGCTGAATAGAGAGTAGACAACGGGGAACCTTTAAAGAAGCAACCTAAATTAACAAGGCTCCATAGTGAAAAACCGTGGAAAAAGTGCTTTACGAGGGCTGGGCATAATAGTTGGTCTATGAGTCCAAGTAAACACTAGCTGTCTTCAGTTTAAAGTATCAGAATATGCAGATTTTAGCATGATAGAACTTGAGCAAATCAGCTCGCGTAGGTAAACAGCATGCCAGACACAGAAGATGTGGCATGCAGACCTCCCAGAATTGACCAGTTAAACCAGCATAAGAAATGATTTAGACTTATAGCAAAGTGGATTAACACCACAAAGACTACTAGTAAATAACAGTAACAACGGTATCATTTGGACCTGAACGAATTAGCCACTCAAGCACTTTAAACATGGTGGAAAAGTCCTAATTCAGTCTCAGAATATTCAGATAACGAATGTGTAGTTTATTTTGAGAAGACTCGGTTTACGTATTAGGTGCCAATCATTGAGCTCAATCAGTACAAGTTGAAGACCAACAAATTACACTCAAGGAAAAGGCGGAGGATAGCATAGGTAGCAATTTGACCAATTAATAGTAAACTCACCCGGAAAGAGCTGTTCGTCGGGTGGAACCACAGAGACAATTTCGAGACCATCTGATTCATCTTCGTTGGTATCAGAAGGCTGAACACACAAAAAGTTAATGCATGAGTCCATTCACAATAAAATCTAAACGTTCATCTGACTTTACCTTAATCCATCTATTCTCTTCCCTTTTCGTCTTACGCTGATGACGAGCGCGCTTAGTGCTTGTGGCCGGCGAAAGAATGGAATATCCACAACCATCAACAGCTGCAGATCGCTTGCTTGACTCGAAAGGATCTTCCTCGATTCTATCTGCTTTCACTCTCGTTGCAGCGACGCTTACCTCGTCGAAGAGCTTCACCACCGTTCCCTCAAAATGACTAGGGAGAATCTCAAAGTGAATTGATCGAAGGGAACGAGATTTGGCCTGTGGATCAGTACTGATGGACCCGCACAATTGATTGTCTTTTTCGCGCTGCATAAGAACGGCAAGAGCGGGTGGGTAGCGTAGACGCATGCAGCAGTCTCTTGCAGCTTCGAATTGATCAGGCGGAAGATCCCGAAGAGCCTCTGAAAGCTGGTCAGAACTGTAGAAGGACCTGGAAGAGTCCTCAGAAGCGTCAGAAACCTGAGTTTGGAGAGAGTTGCTGTTGGGTAATTCGCTTTCCTCTGTCGTGATTGGAACAGATGGAGGCAAAGTCGACGTGTCAGAAGTACAAGACTGAAGTTGTTTCGAATCCACCTTACTTTCCCCTCTTACCACAAGACCGGCACCTAAAAATACAAACCTCGGGTCCCAGAACGAATAACAGACTTCTAATCTCCTCTCTCATGGAAAAACAAAGATATAGCACAGAGCAAGACAATTATGGAATGCTTTCATGTGAAAAAAGCCCATATATTCGCCAATATGTGCTAATAAAAGCCAACTGCATTAGTGAGCGGAGAACGATTTCTGAAGAAAAGGTAACTGAAACAAAAAGGAGCGAAGTTTTCTGAAATAATAGTATCAAAGGGCGACATCGAGGCCACTGAGTGGAACGGCAAATCACTCTAGCATTAGACAGAGGTGCAATTATTTGCCAAATTTAAAAGGGATAGCAGTTACAATAGGTTTTTGCAACAATATCGAGCGACGCTTACCTCCAACGAGTTTGAGAAATGTATCAAAAATGTTCCTGGCTGGACCCGAATTATCGAGAGTCGACATGGCTAACCAACAACATCAAAACTTGAAAATGATAGTTTCATAAAACGCGCCAAATCTGCCCCACCTGTAGATGTGAGTATTATGGCGATCCTTAAGCATGGAATACTATGAAACTGATTTGGAATTTACACTACTGCGTGCATTAAGGTGAGTAATTAACTAAAAGACAATGCAAAGTTCCTCATCATCGGCGTACAAAAGTTGAAATGTGACGAACATGACTGGGAAGCGGCCAAGCCCACACCGCCAAGTTACAGCAGATTTAGAAACGGGTAAAATTCTTTACCACCATGATATCCAAGGAGGTGTTCGCAGTCCTAAAGAGATTGATGCTTATCAGCTAAGATAACACAGTTGTTGTTGCACATACATGAGGCTACAAATACCAAGAGATTGCACACCCTGGCAGGACAATTCGTTATATCCGCCCATTCTCAGATTGTAGTCCAAACGAATATCTATTTGATTAGCCAAGTTAAATGCTATGAAACTCGAAGTTGCCCGTTGACCTCAGCGTAACTCATATTTAGTCCCATTTAAAACCATTTTCCATAAAATTTGAAAGTGATTCAATCTAATGGTGTATCTTCATGTGTCAACTTACATCATTGCATAATCCGTGACATTTTGTTTCAATGGCTAAAATCGATGTCAGACATGTTGGAGTTTGTTTTAGGTGTCTCCCAATGTGTGTTCTGTCTTTACACTTAGGCGTTTGAGCTGCCCTCACGAGGAGTCGTCCCCTGCTTTTACTCATTTGCGAGGTCTCTGCGCATCGCTGTTTGTGCAACGACTTTGCCAGCTATTTGCTTTGCATATCTTGTCCTCTAGAGTTGCATGCAAACATTAATTTGTTTTTTGGAGGTCGAAGTGAAATGGCCTCTGCCTTAATTCGGTTTTTCCCTACGCATGGAGATGGTGTAATCTGCAGTTCTGGGTTAATATTAAACTTGTACTTCCCAAAATTGTACTCAGGCACAAATATATCACGTTGTTTCACGAATGATTAATTTTGACATCAAATTTTGCACAATGCTCATAGTGAGAGCTAGTTAGGCGGCTATTGCGCTCCGTGGTTTTGTCGGACTCAGAGGAATCAACAAAACGAACCTTGTGTCATGG